AACCCCCTAATCAGTTTTGTTGCCCTCCGCTGGACTCTTTCCAATTTTTTCATATCCTTCTTGTAGTGTGGGTCCCAAAACTGGACACAGTACTCCAGATGAGGCCTCACCAATGCCGAATAGAAGGGAATGATCACGTCCCTCGAGCTGCTGGCAATGCCCCTACTTATACAGACCAAAATGTCGTTAGCCTTCTTGGCAACAAGGGCACACTGTTGACTCATAGCACACTGTTGATTCATAAAGACATATGTAAATGTATTGTAGATGTCTGACACCACCATGAGGCTTAAATTCAGTTTTAGAGTTTGTTGCTTAGGAATCTCCTTCGGAGTCAGTAAAGGATTATTTTCTGACTGTGAGGACCAGGAACCTAATTTCATCGTGGAGGTCAATGGGAAATCTTCCTCCTTTTTCTGGGGCTAAATGTGGCCTAGAACATTTAAGAGGCTCAGCCTCCCATGTTTAATGGAGAAACGGAGTCTGATATTTGGTAGTTTACAAAAAGGAGAGCAAGAAAGATTCAGTGGTCAGGATGCTGTCCTTGTTCTTAAGAGACCAGGGTTGACTTCCCAGCTCCTCAGACTCCTTTAGGCAAGTCACAGACAGATTTTCAATAGTTTTTAAGTGCCTAGAGGGATTTTCAAAAGTGCCTAAGCAGGTTAGATGCCTAAGTCCATCAATGAAATCAATGGGAGTTAGGTGCCAAAGCTCCTTAGGCACTTTTGAAAATCCTACTAGCTATCTACCCGCATCTTTAGGCACCTACTTACTTTTGAATATCTGGTCCTTCGTTTCACTGTCTCACAATTCCCCATTTGTAAAATGGTAATAATAGCAGTTCCCTAACTTATAGGATGATTGTGAGGGGCTCAGATATTACAGTGATGGCAGCCATATAAGTACCTAAGTTAGATTTTTTTGCTCTAACGTGACTTCTTCCAGCCCTGTTTATCTGGAGATTGTTCTCCTCTCCTCGTGTTTCTCATCCTCATTTGAAAGGATTTAATTTTCCCCTATTTTGTGTATGAGAAGGACTGTTGAAGTATGCAGAAATTCCCAAGAGAATTCTGGCTAACAGGCAAACTCTTTATGGGCAGAAACAAAAAAGGCCTTCAGGCATGTAAAACCTGAATAGCGAGATGGGTTGTTTTATTCATGAGAGAGGCATATTTTTCTTCAGATGTGTCTGCCTAGGGTGGAAGCTGATTCTTGATCAGAAAAGGACAGGAGTCTTCATGGTTGAACTGTTTAAATTAACATCTTTCTGTACTGTATCTGCCTTTTCCAAGGTGTTGACTGCTTCATTTCAAGCATTGGGCTTCAGATTTCTTCCAGCTACATGAATAAAATAATGGATTTTCTTATTGCTCCTTTACCTACTCCATCCACAGAATATAATTTTGACACTGCCCACAAATACCTGAACAACTCAGAATACAAGAACAGATGTGAAAAGGCTATGGGCACTTTTTTTTTTAACCTGAGTTCTCTCATCTGTTAGTTCAAATGCCCCACATCCGTCAGAGAGGGAAGAGTTTTCTCACTAAACATTATATTCCAGACAGACATACAACTTAGAAATGTGTTATTTAATTTTTGTTGGTTGATGTTTAGTGTTTTGAATTATTAGATCTTTTAATTCAAGTGCTGCACATGTTTGTTTTACCTCATCTCTCAGGCTGGCAGTGCTCTAAGACTAATATTGTCTAAAACTCAAAGAAGTCACCCTTAAAACCAGGGGAGAATGACTCCAAACTTCCCATGGGGAGGGGTGTATAATTTAGTTGTTAGAGCAAGGGGCTAGGAGTCGGCACCCCTAGGTTCTATTCTCAGGTCTGCCAGTTTCTCACTATATAACTTTTGGTCCTATAATCACTTAATCTCTCTGTGCCTCAGTTTAATTAGAATAATG